CATTGATCGATAATCCTTTTCTCCTCACATATGTAAACAAATTCTGTTTGTTATTCCTTGCTCGATAATTACAATCATTATTGGATGTTTTAAGGTAATTTTAATTTTCGATAAATTTCATGGCACTGCAAGGAAGGATTTCAATTTTAAGAAATAATTAAAAAAAAAATTAAAGGTATAACTTCAAAAAAGATTTTTTTCAGTATTAATAAAGAAAGAACATTTTTTAATTTCATTATTTACCAATACACAATGTTCTTCCTTAAAAATATAAAAATAATTTGATCAGATTACTTCGCAACAGGACCTGATAAAATTTCTCGATTGAATCTAAAGTTGAAATTTAAATAAAAATCCACTAACAAGGTTTTTGTCACAAAAATGTAAAAATATATCGCGAAACACTTAGATATCAGAGTATCAAACTATCGAAAACAATTAGCGTTAAAAAGATCGTAAAAACGTAACGTCTTGGCGGAAAAGGAGGAGCAAGAGATTCTTCCGGCGGTAGTTTCCGGTATAATTGGCGCGAGGATAAAAGCGCCGACACGCGATTCAACGAGAAAAGAAAGGTAATCGCTTCTCTCTCCACGGTAATAAACGAAACGTCTGCAATTCCCGTGTAACGTTATCACGCGCAATAAACGCGATAATTCGGTCGCGACTGCACGACCAAATTATCGGCTCTCGCGAAATTGATTATATGCGCTGGTAATTCGACTTACTCGGCATTATTCAACGATGAAAGTATCCTCTTGGAAGGGAGAACCAGGAAATTGCTTTGTTCGTGGTTTTTTTAGTTTTTAATTTGAAATTATTATTTCATACAGCATTAGTTTTTTGAATTTTGTTCGAATTATTTTTATTTTATATTACAACTCTTCTTTATTATTACACGTTTTTTTTTCTTTTGAAACGAAAGGAATTTAGAGAGTTAATCAACGAACGATAAATTGAATATGTCCTTTTCACATTTAAAATTTTCATAAAATGCATAAACATCCGTAAGCTATATATGCGAATGTATCCACGAATAATCTGTTGGGGAATATCGAGTTCATTAGTGAATGTATTAATATTTATACGAATTTTAACATAAGTTTTGTTTGTACTTTTCTGTTGCAGGTGAGTATCTCTGGAATGTTCTCCTCCCGAGTGATGAATATAAATTCGTTTGCATAAATTTTTTACCTTCCCAGGTAAGTGTATTTGCAAAGAAGAACACAAATTACCGTGATCAGATATATCTGTTTTCTACTATCGAGAAGGAATAAATAAGAAAATTTTTTACTTTTCCTTAAAATTGTTACAAATGTATCTTTTCGCAATTCTTCTCCATTCCTATTCTTAATACTATCCAACTAAAAACACTCATCCGTCAGTCAAATTCCTACCGATCACCGAGATCGATGCATTAAACCTTTAGAAAGGTCCATAATGTATCTCCACAGATCGTGCATCTTGGCAGCGAAGGGGTGACACATTTGCCGGGATTCGAGCGTCTCGAAGAAGAAGGCGTCGAAAGATTTATGCACGGATGCTATGTATATGCGTGTATGGGCGCACTCATACATCAAGATGTCTAAAGTGTTGGAATGGAATAGTTGAAGAGATAGAAAATATCTGAATTTCACGAGCAACTCCGCGATTCACAATGAGAGCTTGTTTCTTTTTCTTTTTTTTTTTTTCTTTTTCTTTTTTTCTTTTTGCACTCTTGGATGATTGATTAATCCTTGTTTACGTCCACGAACTTTCATCCATTTTCTTCATTCGATTCAAATTCCCATTTCTATTCCTTTAGTTCGATCCATTTTACAGAATAAAATTATGAATCGATCTGAAATTTGCGAATGAATTACTCTTTGATGGATGTGATTTTTTCAAATGAACTGGAGTTATTCTGAATTAACGTGAGAAATCTATCGTTACTAAAAAATAAATACAGATCATTAAATGGAAAAAAAAAATTCTTTTGTAAGAAGATTCCGATTTTTTGAATTGAGTAATTTTCGAAATAAAAATTATCTTATTTTGATATAATGATTTTCTAATTCCTTCCAATTCTTTCATAATCGAAAACCAAACTATTCAAGTCTATTGTTGAAAATCAAAGGAAATAATCTTGATACAATTACATATATTACCATATTAACCATTATAGAAGATAAATAATAAAATAATCTCGAATTAGTATAAGAGAAAATCTTCCTCAACTTTCTTCCATATTCCTTGCACGATCTCAATCTCTATCTTTTTACCATTCCTTCCTACCATCCTTCGTCCTTTTCTTTCCACATCGTTCTTTTCTTATCCAACATCCATTCTACTCGTCGAGTAGAATCCTCGTTCAATTTTTGCGTGCATCTACGTGTGTCACACCTTTTTGCAAGCCGGGATTGCATGCATAATTAATTTTTCAAGCGTCGTGCTTTTTTTTCCTACGGCAGCCTCGTCATCGGCAAAGATTCGTTTCGTGTTCGAATAATAAATTAATTCGACCGTGTTCGAATAATAAATTAATCGCGTGTTTCGGCCTCTTTTATTCCCTGCGGGCCTTCTTCTCCCAGTTATCGGCGTGTAATTAGTCGTGGCTCGTACATCTGTTCTTTTAATCCTCTTCGATGTGATAGTTTGGTAAGAGTTTTTTTTTTTTATTTTATTTTTTCATTTTTATGGCGTGTGGAACTGATGAAGGCGACACAAAGAGGCGCCTTGCTTCGACTAACTTTTTTTTTTTAATCTTATTGTGTTTGATTCGTTGATGTAGGAATATTAATACATGTAACGAAATTTATAATTTTTAATAAATAAAATTAGATTATTGAACTTGAGATAGTTTTTAAAATAAAGTTCCACGTATAATAATAGATTCTTTTGTATCTTTATTTTAAATATTGATATTCTTTTAAATTTTTAAGCCCTGAATGTTTTCTTTTCGATATTTCCATAATATAATTTACGATAAGTAACTTTGAAATTTCTGTACGCCGAGTAATATAATTAAAAGTTCTATTAAATACCAAGAGAAGTTTGTATGGCCAAGTGAAATTCAGTATTTCATTTGCATACTGATTCATAAACATAAACACAACAGGATAGTATAGATATTATCGGTGAAAGATTTCTTCTACGATATTTATCTTTTAAGATTGAAAAACAGCATTTTGTATCATTAATTTGCTGTTACAATTAAATTTTCGTTTTGCGAAATAAGAGAATAAAATAAGCAAATTTTGTATGCGTTGTTATAATTCGAACAGCGTGGGTAACTGAAACTTTACCTTAGTTCTTTTCAAATTTAATTACGCCTTCTCGGGATGATTTGTTTTTGATTGAAAACAGCGGGTTGTTTCATCTTTGCGCGTCACGTAAGGAACCCCTTGCTGTTTCTTAATTAATGCGGCTTTCATAACTGTAATCAATAGACCGTGCTTATAAATGTTGTGCGATTTATTTGAAAAGGGGAAGAAGAAACAAAAGAAATAAGAAATACAATTTAGTATACATAAAAAGAAAAAAAAAAGTGAAGCAAATAATTTCGAAATGCCGTAAATTTATTATTTTTAATTATTAAAAATGGAAGATGTTTAAAGATTAATTGATTTATTAGAGAGAATATAATTTCTTAAAAATTTGGTAATAAAGAAAAATTATATTATTTATGTTGATTTATGCTTATGTTGATTTCTATGTAAATTTTTAAAAAAATAACAAAATTTTATAAGAATATGATATAGGTATTAATAACGTGTGTTTCATAAACAAAATATTCTCCACTAAATAAGAAAGATGCAAAATAAATTTCATCAAAACGACTTACCACATAAATTCTCCAACACCTAATAACTTATACATCCTCATAAAATTCCTCTATTCTATCCAAATTAACCAATTGAAGCCAACCAAATCAAAATAGTTCCATTAACATGCATTCTCCACAGAAAATTTAAACAGCAGCACACCATAAACTCGAACACACACCACTTTTATTGTTCAACTCGCGACGAGAACAAACGTCTAATTTGATCGAGGCAATTAAAATGTTATTCACCCTCGTTTAACTTCCTCGAATAACACGATTTTCAACCAAAGGAAGTGGTGAAAACTTTGGATCCTTTAGATAGCTTCCTTTTATTTTCCTTCTTTTTGCACGTGTCTTCCTTTTCCCTCTTCCTCCAATTCGCCATTCTCCGCTCGTTCGCTTGCTTTCTTGCTCCTCTTGATAGAATGCATAATTAATTTGTCGAGCTGGGTGTCAAGTACAGTCTTCTTCGCGAAATCGCCACGATTAGAACTAGAGTGGATTATGGCGCAGCCTATGTCACGAGGTCAATCTTGACAAGAGATCTTGAGGACTCTTTGATGATGTGATCTTTAGTATGATTTACAGAAATTATATTGATTTTTTTTCCCTTCTTTGCTATATGATTGAATTAAGTTGTAGAATTTCGTATTTCATATTATTTTTATTTTATCTTATTAGTTTTTTTTCTATGTCTGCGTTATTCTATTTTTATATTCCTCTAGAATATTATGTATTATATAAAATTTTTTTAATCTATCGAATCTCTTTCAATTTCTTAATTCAAATTTCAAGATTTATATAGATTTTACCAATATCTTTGGAAAAATTCGACCAATGAATCTTAAGTTTCCTTTCGATCTCTCTTTTCTTATTATCATTCGATCTTAAATTCATCATAAAAAATTCTTTTCGTCGATTGAAGTTTTTATAGTTCTCCATCATGAACTAATCGCATTTCGAAGATGGTTCTTCGAGAAATGAGCAGGTTTGGAGTTTACGTTCACTTAGCACGATTAATCCATTATTTCGGATTATCCCGTATCGTTTTTTTTTTAATCCACGACGATAAGTCTCCGTGAAAGTATCGCCTCGATGCCACCCATCGTTTAATAAATTAAGTTCATCGAGCTGTAGGAACATTCTGAATAAGTTAAATATTCCTGCTCGATGTAATATCCATTTGGTACACAATAATCGGCGGGATTAATCTCGCCTCGATTTCGATGAAAACGAAACGGGGTCTCTTAATGGAAATGGTTGGAAGTTTCTCGATTTTAATATGAACACGTGTATATATATATTTCGAATATCATATCAGAAAGATGGCTCGATTTATTGATTCCATTTAAAAGAAAATCTTAATATCTATTTTCTTTAAATATTTATTATCGCAGGAAAATTCGATTTGTAGGAAAGAAAATCTAATTAATTCGAGGCAAAATGAAACAATAGAGAAAGAGAAAAAAGCAAAATAGATTGTTATTCTTCTTATTCTGTGGGATTAAAACGAAAATCAATTCGAGAAAAGAAGATGATTGATTCTCATGAATAGCAGTTACGAGGTGCTAGAGTTAATTTTGATCAGAATGCATTGATACAGTGTCTTTCTTCCTTAATAAAGTATTATGCTGTATAATATAGAGTGAAGATTCGTGTACGAGGGGTGAAGTAATGGTAGACAGCTGTTTTTTAATTTGTAAGTGTGATGTGCGAGTTTCATGACCCACAATGATGTGACTCTTGTTCGATTTCTTCTATTCTTTTCCAAGAAAAAATTGCACGTGGTCTGCTAATGAAAAGGACCCACATAATCATGGTACCAGCGGATCTTTAGAGGGGTTGAAGAATTGAATGGCGTTTCATAGACGATTTGACACTATAAAGTGCCTATGTGGGTTCAATAAATGTTGTAGATGTAAATAGGATATCTTACGTTGAAATTTCAATGGAATTTCGAGTATATTAGAATTTCAGAGTCCTCTTGGGATAATTGGGATAATATTATTAACGAAATTTGATAAGTAAAATAGTTTGGTGCAAGCAAATAAGTTTTACTTATAAATTTTGTACATTTTATAATGGCTGTTCTATTTGATGTAAAATAATTAGTAGAACGATAACTTATGTCTTATATTATCTACTAATTCACTAATATTATCAATTAACGAATTATTATTCGATAATATTAGATATTGAAATAAAAATACCAAATGCTAAAAATATTATCTTTAAATTTTTAAAAAAGATTCTTGTCCAGTTTTTTATAAAAATATTCTAATTTCGACGTGGTTGCATTCGTATATAAAACATAACAAAGTACACCGAGAATAATTTTAGAATAATTCCGCGAGAAATACACGGAGAAGATAGTAAACTCGACCTTAAAAATTTTCACATTTTCTTCTTTTCACGAATAAAATTTCATAACATTACGAAGAAGGACAAAATAATAAATTTTAAATTAAATGATAAATAAATAATAAAAATATGCATTTTCCTTTTTAATAAAGAAAAAAAAGTAATGACATCAGAAGATATTTAAACAAGATTCCTCTTTAAGGTTTTTTTTAAGAACATGTCTCTACGATGGATCAAACATCGTTTAAAAGACGTAGTACTAATTAAAAGATTTTTGCTTTGACTGAAAAATGTGTTTTCAAACATCTTGCAAAATGTCTTAATTAAGTCGGCAAAAAGAACAGAGAGATGAAATGAGAAGACCGAGGTAGCAAATATGTTATATTTTATAATAAAAATCGTTGATAATTTCATATTTGATGAATTTTTTATTTTCCTAGTATCGATAATGATGAAATTCGAGGACTAATTTCTAGGAATTAAAATAAGAATTAAAACTATAAAATGTATTAGTCAATTTTACCTATGAAATTTTCTCTAAAATTTAAAAATTTTTACAAATCCGTAGACAGAAAATATCAAATTTCATGCACGAGAAAGAACAAATGAAACGAAATTTGAAATTGTATGAATTTACGCATCAACGTCATTTAAATTTTTATGTAAATTATTTTCTTTATCAGTTTGCATTCTCAAGAAGGATAAAAAAAAATGGCAAAATAAATTGGATTCCTAATTTTCGAAACAATTCATTCGAATTAAACGTGTCTCTAATTCTCAAAAACATTTCGAAACAGCAAGAGACAGAGGTTCTCTACTTTTCGACTTCTTTGAGTAAGCGATCACGATCCGTGAACAAAAGACCTGATGACTGACAAAGCATAGTATCTAAACGTAATGGGGTTACAAGAGTCCCGAGTGAATATTTCTTGTTCCTTTTGAAGGGAAGCGATCATCTACTGCTTTTCTCCGGCACACAGAAATCTTCTTGATATAATAGCGAATCCTCACAGATTTCCAACTTGGGAATCTCATTGTTCCGTCATTACGTTTCTTTGATTCGATGAATGATGAATGATAAAAATACTTTCATTCTTTCCTTTTTTGAAGAAACACAGATGTAGTTCAATCTCCAATAATTAAAAATCATCAATTTAATTGTATTCAATTATTAACTAATATCGAAAACTTGTTTCTTCAAAAAAAAATTGTATTCAATTATTAACTAAAGCTTGTCGAAAGCTCGTTTCCTCAAAAAAAAAAAACCTTACTGATCGAATATTCATAAATCCTTCCTCCATCCTTCTTGCCATCTTCCACACCTCGTCATCGCTGATTAAATTTATTTTGGATTATTTGGTGCAACACGTATCGATACGCATGCTAATTGGTAATTATGGCATTCGAACGTGCATAATTCGACGCCCACGTAACATTTCCGGTCTGAGACACGGAGATTGGATAACGAAAATCCGCTAATTCGTTAAACCCGGAAGACCAGAATCCTTTTGTTCCCGATGAAAAATTCAACCCCCAACGGAAATTCCCCGATTCGGTTCTCGAAGCAGAAGGGAAAGTTTTAAGCAGGATCTCGGACTTCCGCGATGTTTCTTCGGACTGTCGACTGTCGGAGTTCCGAGAGGCGTTAACGGCCAAGTGTCTTTCAAGGATCTTCGCGCGGAGATTTTGACTTCCTCTCTTTCTCTCTTCGGAGTGAAGTTAATTCAGCGTCAATTCTTCCTCGCGTTGTTCACCGATGTGCGATTAAATTCTTGCTGCGCTGTTTTCTTATTGTTTCTCCGAGGATGTTGATAAAGGGATGAAATTAATTCGGTGTTAATTCACACGATTCTATTGATGTTTCTTCGTTTTTGAATCTCTTTGGATTTGATTTAGATTTTTGATATGTTTTGATACCTTGAAGATGATACGAACAAAAATATGTTGTTATTTAATTTTGAACAAAATTTGATAAAGTGATATCACGTGTTAAGAAGTGTGGCTGTATCGTAGAAATTCATCTATATTACGTGCATTTCGATCGTATATATTATTCCATAAAAGCAAATCGTGTTCACACCACAATATGCCATCGACATTCAAAAAAGCGTTAAAAATTCTCGACTCGAATTCTCCATCGCGCCAACCGCGATAAAAACTCGCGCGGCAGAACTCCTCTCTCCCTAAAAAAAAAAAAGAATAAATAAAGGTTAAAAAAAAAAGAAAAAAAAAAAGATCTCGCAATTTCTAGACAAAGGATTATTGATGCGAGAACGTCGACGTTTCGATGCCATCAAAGAGCGATCAGAAAGAAGAATTCGTAGATCACGTGGATCCGCTCGAATCACGAACCAGCGCCAGGGGATGAAAAATTCGCATCCCGTTACCCCCTCGATGCGACGATAAATTGCGAGACTTTCATAGGGAGGGGGGCCAATTTCGCCGCTCGAAACAACAACGAACGCACGAAGAGCGAAAAAAAAGGAGGAGAAAACGACCGAAGAGGGAGAGGGAGAGAGAGGGAGAAAGAAATGGAAGCAAAGAAAAAAAAGGGATAGTTGGAAAACGAGGGCAAAGAGGGAAGAGGAAGAGGAAATTGGCGTGGATTCGACGTGACGTTAATAAATCCGCGCTGTTTATCTTTTCGATGGAGCGATAAATACCGATTTCTGGATAATTCGGATATTAAAATTCATTAGATACGGACCGATTTACACGATCGATAAGAAAGTGGAAGAGAGATCGAAAGATGGATCGTTGATTAAAAAAAGAAAAAAAAAAAAAAAAGGAGAGGATGATTCCTCGGACGAGAAATTTCGCGAATATAATAAAATCAAGGCCGGTGTTTAAATTCGTGGAGCGTTAATGGAAGAACAACAATCCGAATGATAATCGTCGCGTCTGAAGCTCTGCCGGGGAGGAGGGGGAATTAAACCGAAAAGAGGGAAATTTTAAATGGTGACGGGGGTGAACACGATTAACCCTGGGAATAGATGAAACGAGGGCGGGTATTTAATTTTCTCGTGGCTCGTTAATAACTATATGAGTATTCGTGGAAACGAGAATTGCGATGCGACTGTGAAATTGGAGGAATCTTTCTTTTTTGATGGGGATTAGTTGTGGAAGTAGAATTATATTGCTTTCTTTTTTTTCTTCTTCTTCTTTTTCTCTTTTTGAAATATAAAATACACGAAGAATTTATATATGGGTGTTGAGGATATTTTTATTAAAATTTTTCTTTCCGTCTTTTGAGATAATTGTAATTGATTTTATAATATTCT